ATGCTTGGTATTAAAATATTAATTCATATCAGTAGAATTGAATGCTATTAACGACATCTGGAGAAATAGGCTTTAAAAGGTTTATATCATATCTTTGTTCGTCTGCACTTAAATTTCAAACACGACAGAATTTGTAATTTTTGCCGTAAAAATTCATAATTTCTATATACTTTAGAGACTTACCGTAAAACTTTCAGGAAACTTTCTATGAAGTCTTTTCTGCACCTTAAGTGAAATTTTATGTCGATCCCAGGTGTTGATCGAGTTTCAGAGAAATTTTCTACGTTGTTATTGATTTTTTTTTTTAAGGAGAAGGGGGGGGGGTTGACTTTTTTATTCTAAGCATTTGTTAAAGTGAGTTTGTAAATACATCTACGAACTTGAGCTGGATTGTGACCTTTGGGTCAAGGGGTCAAAGGTCAAGGTCAAAGGTCAAGGTCATCAAAGCATTTCATAAAGAAATATAAAAGTAACGGCCATATCAAGTATACAAGTCATTTGATCATTGCACGCGCGCGAAGGTGCAATGCATGAAAGCTATATCATCGTGACTACACTTTTAATGTGTTTCTATTCTTTGAATTTTGAAACGTTTCATAAAAAAAATTACGACTATATCAAGTAAATCGGTCATTTAACGCATTGCGCGCGCACACGTGCATGCAAGTCCTTGCATTCAAGTTTGATAGTAGCATAATGTAAGAATCCGTCATATCTATTCATATTCTAAATTTCATCCTGTTTTGTTGAGAATCAAAAAAGTTATAGGCATTTAAAGTTTAAGCCAATCAGATCGCAGCACACGTGCATGGGCGTGGTTTCTTGAAAACTTTTATATATCATAGTTTAGGACGTATTAAGGTATGATTATGTTTTAAAATTCAAAGTATTTTGTCAAAAAACAAGTAAGATATTGAGATTTTTGTTTCAGCTAATCAGAGCAAAGCGCACGTGCATGCGCGTGCATGCATGTGCATGATGACCGTAACTTCTTATAGGAGTCTATTGTGTCTGTCTATGTTCTAAATCTTATCGTGGTTGGTTGAAAAACAAGGGAGTTACAGCCATTTGAAGTTTAAGCCAATCAGATTGCAGCGCACGTGCATGCGCATGCTTTCATGACAAATGTTATACATCATGTTGTAGGACATCTTAAAGTATGCTTATATTTTAAATTTCATACCATTTCGTCAAAAAACGGAAAAGATATTGAGATTTTTGTTTCAGCCAATCAGAGCGAAGCGCACGTAAATGCGCGTGAGTTCTTGCTAATTTGACAGTGTCACATTATCTACACTATCAATATATCCTTATATAATGAGTTTCAAAGCATTTCATCGGAAAATGTTAAAGTTATGGCTATATTAAATATATTAGTCATTTCAGTCATTTCACGCGCCCGCACGTGCAGGCGTATGCGCGCAAAATGACCTTCGTTCCGCACACCTACACAACACACCTATTAACCCTAAAAAGGTTTTAGCTCAGTTGGGTGAACAGTTTCTGAGAACACTCGCGGACAAAAAAGTACCGGAGAAGAAATAAGAAGAAAAAAGAATAATAATAATAATAATAAGAAACAGAGTAAAAACAATATGTTCCCAAACTTCGTTTGGGGAACATAATAAGAAACAGAGTAAAAACAATATGTTCCCCAACTTCGTTTGGGGAACATAATAATAAGAAACAGAGTAAAAACAATATGTTCCCCAACTTCGTTTGGGGAACATAATAAGAAACCGAGTAAAAACAATATGTTCCCCAACTTCGTTTGGGGAACATAATAATAAGAAACAGAGTAAAAACAATATGTTCCCCAACTTCGTTTGGGGAACATAATTACTGTCTCTTTTTACAGTATTATATGTGTTGATCTCGGGTTGTTCTGTAACGTTATAGTCTATGTTCATGATCAATGATGATTGGTTTAAGGCGGTAAACCGATACATATTTTATCAAGCTTTACCTGGGGGGGAACGAGGGGAGGGACCAAAAAAATAAACACTTGAAAAAGTACATAAACTTAAATGATTAACAAATCCCTTAAAATAATTTTTTTTATTGGATGGAAAGGCCTTCACAGGGGGCTGGCTATTTTTAAAATGTCCAAATTTTTAGGTTAGTTTACTTAAGTTAATAATTCGTCAAAGTACGGGGGATACTACATGTATTAGTATCTTCTTTATTGGATGTACAGCATGTAAAAAATGAAACTATTCCAGAGTATGAAAGAAGATTAGAAACGGGTATTTCTTTTTAGTTTGTAAAAATAGGGGATAATATCTGGAGATATTTTTTTATTATTAGATATAATTTAAATTTTTTTCTTCAAATATTTTGACCTGAACAATTATTAATTCATCTAGGTAAAAGTACTAGGTACTGACAGAACTCATTGCATACACAGATAAAAAAAAAAGGGGGGGGTGTCAGGAGTCAAGAGATAAATCAAATATTTATGAAAACAACCAAAATTTCCTGCCCCTTCTGAGAACATGGGGCCTTAATGGCTTGTAAAATGATGAGAAAAGTTTTACCTGAATCCCCCCTTCCTTTACCCAGTTAAACACATAATCATCCTCCTTAATGTAAAAGGTTTTGATAAAATGCAGGCAATTATTTTTTATCTAGATCGATCTATAATGATGACAATTTTTTAATGGAAAAAGCATAGTCAGTAGACAGAATTTAAACTGAATTATTCACGTCCACTTGATCTAATTTTTATGCATATTAGAAAGTAGAGTAAGACGTATAATAATCCATATTTAATTCAATTTTTACATAGATCTTACTTTAGAATATAACCCACTTAAATGTACATGTATACGGTAAATAGATTGTTCTTTTTATTTCATTTGAATGCTTTAGGCAATTTAAAGAGGCATCAATTTTATTTAGATTACGAACAGTATTGTGTAAATTTAATGATGATAGTGTCTTCCCTTTAATTTATTTCAAAGTAAATGGTTAAAGATCAGTTGTAACAGGCTACAGAGTGTAGGAGTTGAGATTTATGAACAGAATCTCTGTGAACTTTACAACAAATTTTTATTTCAAAGTGGCATTATTGTTAATTAAATGGTCAATTTAGCCTGTTGCTGGTTCTCAGGAAAAACACTGTTGATGCTTTTAACAACACCCTGCTGGTTGACAAATAAATTATGCAAAAAAAAACCCCTTTTTGATGGTAAGAACTCTTGGGGTCTTGATCCATGAGTGGATCTGTCATAAAGATAACAATATAATGTAGTTATAATGTAGTTTGTACATCTGTAACAGTGACCCTAATTGACACCTAATGGCATGTAAATATACACATATACTTGACACATACACAAAACAGTGTTATCACTATTTAAGATGTAAGATAATGGTGTTTTCACAGGAGGGGGTGTATTAAGACTCTTTCTTATCTTCCCTGTCAAAAGGCCCATTAGTTGCCTATGCTAATCAACAGGATGTAGATGTCATAATGTCGTGTAAATGAAATGCATGAATAATGTAGATAATTATGAATTCATACATTAATCAAATTCACTACTAAATTTGAAAAATCCATTTCCTGGGCTTTGATTATAGGTACATGTAACGTTTTAGCTAATATTTTTTTATCTTAACATTTAAGAAAACCCATTTAATTGTTTACTTGTACATGTACATTTAAAACTTGGAACATGATTAAATGAAGAGCTTAATGAAAAGATTAAAATTGCAATGTACAGAAATTTAATTTTTGATAAAAATGGTACGGTATATTCTCGAAGACCATGAAGAAAATGCCTTTGCCATATCACAAAATTAACATGAATATAAGGATAATTTAAAACAAGCTTAATCATAAAAAGTTAGGAGAGCTCTTTAATAAAACTGAGAAAATGACAGAATTGGATTATGCATGAGCAAATTATTTAGAGGGGGAGGAAGGGGTGGGGCATCAAATGTAATTGTAATTCAATACCTTAGAGAAATGCTTATCAACATTAAAAAGGGGGAGGGGTATCATTGTTAATGTAGAAGGAGATTCAGAAAGAAAAAGATTTGCTTTTCGCTGAAAAAAAAAAACAAAAAAAAAACAACTATTGTTTGTGAAAAAAGTAACTTAAACTATTTTCATTCAAAATTTCACAAAAATGGAAATTAATGGCCATGAGGCAAAAAGCTGTGCAATAGATTTATGTAAGAATGGTTTAAGAAAGGTTGGAGTTGGAACATTATAGAAATTTTACAATTTCTGTATATTTTAGAAATTCATTATATGCAATATTTACAATCAAATTGTTTAAAAAAATAAATACATATCAAGGTATCCATATTATTGCTAATGCATGTATCTTTTGTCCTAAATTACTTATTATAAGCATAATTGATACATGCGACTGAATTTAAGACTGCATGGTTAGATATCTTGTTGTTTTACACAATAAAGACTCATCTGCCATATCAACAGAAATGTGACATTGCTATGATTATAAATTTGGCCTATTAGTATACATACATTTAGTCTAATTGTGTACATAATGTTAATGTATTCCTTAAGCAAGCTCTAAACACTAATAAAAACTTCTTTTTTGGACTCAGAAAAAAATATATCATTTAAATGTATGCATATTGAGACTTCATCATTCATTTAGAACATAGGGTGTGTGCCTTATTTGTGCAGGAATAATGTTCAACGACAATACTGAATAGACTTATATTTGTGAGCAAAAATCGCTGTTGTTTACTTACTTTGGGAAAATTAATGAAAATTTTATTAAATTTCTTACTCTTTGTCATATATAATGCTAAATATATTTTTATTATGAATTATGTAATCAATGGTAAATAACAATTTCTTCAATCTTACATTTAAGGGTAGATCACTCTAACGGCATAAATCCACCCAATAAGTTAAGTTCTTTAGTGTGCAGTGTTTAGAGCATCCTTAAATAGGAATTACCACAAATGCAACTGAGGTGTGTCATATTAATTGCAAATGATATATCTTGCAGATTTATGGATAGTAAAGACTCTGCAAACGAGAAGATAACACAAGTGAAGAGGAGGTCAAGAAGAAGGAGAGATCTGAAACGAAAAAGAAGACAAGAACTGAAGAAACAATCTTCTGTGTCAGAAAACGTAGAGGATCCATCATCATCTGATGATTCTCTAGGAACTTTCGCTGAGAAATACGAAAGAGAAAAGGAACGAAAGAAAGGTGTGATATGCATGTGTGTTGTTTTAATCTATGTCACTAAGTAGAATGAAATATATACATTTTTCACATAGTTTGGCGACCAAAAAAATTTTTAGGTCGCCATTGTGCGACCTAAGAGCAAGTGTGACTTGGAGCACTGTAGATGCACATCTATATTTGATAATTTTCAAATAAAATATTTCTTAAAAAGTGATATGAATTTAATTATCTGATTTTACAAATAGATATATAGAAAACAAAATTACATGTGTGACACTTCAACATGTTCAAATGGCCTCTTCATTGAATGTGGTCCATGAACATATGTAGTACCTTTAAAAAAATGACTGCTTGTAAGAATGACAGAAAGACCAAATAAGTTACCCAGGTAGATCAGTCTACATTTAGACTAGACATGTACATCGTAACATGAAGATGTATTATAAACAAATTTAAATATTTCTTTCCATTTCCACAGTCACAAATCCACAAGTTAGAGATTCCAAAGCAACACCAACTGCTTCATCTTCAACGGCTTTATTTGATGACCCCCTCATGAAAGACTTTACATCTTATATTGTGACAAGGAATAAGTTGAAGAAATTTTGTGGGATGTCGGTTGTCAAGACAGGTGAATAAGGATTTGGTAAGCAAAAATATGTATTTTATTACATCATGCAGACTTAATTTTATTATATACCCAACTGTTTTACCAATCAATTTTACTGTATATTTCATACAATCTTACATGTGACCATGTGATCCAGTTTTTTGGATCAATGCACTCTAAAAATGATAAAGTAATGCAAAGATGTATAATACTTTTATTCTAGCACATCAAAAGGTCCCTGGACAAAATAGCTTGTTACTTAGATGATGAAAGTTATTTAATTGACCGAAAAGTTTCCTTTTTATTATATTTATGCCCCCCCCCCCCCACCTTCGAAGACGCGAGGGCATATTGCTTTGTTGCTGTCTGTTGGTCTGTCAGTCCACTTAGTTTCCATTCATTTTTAATTCGCAACCGTTGCACATACTGAAATGAAATTTGTTATGCAGATATATCACATTAATATCTAGGTAAACTTCTGTTTTGAGTACGATCGCACCATTTTTGACAGAGTTATGCCCCTTAGACTCAGAAAAATTCCAATTATTTGCATTTTCTGTTCATTATCTTTGAAGAATACTGAAATGAAATTTGGTATACAGATTTATCATAAGAATATCTAAGTCAAATTCTGTTTTGGGTAAATATGACCTAGCCTTATTTGACAGAGATTTGCCCCTTTGACTTAGTAAATTTTCTAAGTTAGGCCAAACAAAAAAATATCTTTGTTTACTGTTACATGCTGAAATAAAATAGGGTCGGTAGGTAGGAATTTTTTTTTATTTTATTGAATTTTTTATAACTTCCGGATTTTTACGACGAAAAAAAAGTTTGGGTCGGCGATTAAAATTAGGGTCCGTCGGGTAACCGTAAACAAACATATTTTTTTGTTACGCCTTAGTTTAAATTTCCAATTTTTTGTGGGGGGTGCATGGAAGTGTTTTACAAACAAGTTGAAACAACTCTTGTTGGACAAGAATTAAATCAGAAATAATGTTTAAAAAATATTCAGAATTAAACAAATATTTATCACATCATGACATGTAAATGCTACAGCATGGTATTGTCTTTATAATATTAATAATTTTTACATTTATTTATGAATATTAAGTATTTAATCAAATTAATGAAAGAACCTTATCCTTTGTTTGCAGTCCTATCATGGATCAATACAAGAGAAAAAGAAAATATTGCACAAAATGCAAGGAGGAATTTTCGAACAGATATTTTAAAAGACATTTGTGTAAAGATAGTAATTCTACAAATGTGGAGGAAGCCAGAGATTATGAACAAGTTCATGAACCAATGGCTGAAGAAATGCCATCTACTTCAACAATGCCATCTACTTCGACTGAAAAGGTAATGGAGGCTGATGATACATTTGAATCGGACAATGTTATGGATGAGGTTCCTACAGACTCTGAAAAAGGCACGGACATAGATGACGAAGAACTGGTTGAACTGTTTATGCAGGACAGTGAAGGGGAATCTGAGATGCCAACAGAAACAGATAAAAACCATGAATATATACAAATTATTTTAAAATTATTGTTTAGGTGGCAGGCAGTTTTTTTCATTTCAGATATGGCGTTATCATTCATTATCGTGCTGATCAAATCAATTTTTTATCTTGGATCATTTTCTTCATCATTTATTGCTGCTCTTTACAAAAGCTTTCCATCAACACTGTATCAGGCAAATAGTTCAGTACGATTTGAGAAAGACAATTTCAAGAAATATGTTGTATGTCCAAAATGTTTTTCTTTGTATGATTTTTCTCAGTGTTTACAAATTATTGAGGGTGAAAATGTGTCAAAAAAGTGTAGCAATGTTGTCCAGCCAAATCATAAATTAGCCAATTTCAGAAAACCCTGTGGAGAAATTCTTCTGAAATCTGTCACAGTAAATGGAAAGATGACTTTTGTTGCTAAAAAAACATACTGTTATAAAAGTGTTAAAGACAGTATTCATAGGCTTGTGAAAAAGAGAGGTTTTGAAAACTTGTGTGAAAAGTGGCGTCATCAAATTTTTTCTGAAAATGTGTTAAGTGATGTTTATGATGGAAATGTTTGGAAAGAATTCAATGGTTTGAAGTATAATTTTTTTACAGAACCTAATAATTTTGGACTTATGTTAAATGTTGATTGGTTTCAACCTTTTAAATATTCAAATTACTCAGTAGGTGCCATATATTTGTCAATTTTAAATTTGCCACGAGAAGAAAGATTCAAAAGAAACAACATTATTTTGGTAGGACTAATACCTGACTGTAAAACTGAACCCCCAACAAATACATTTTTACAACCTCTTGTAGAAGAACTGCAGGAAGCATGGGAGGGTTTCCATTTAGATAGTTATATGTCTCCTTCAGATCCTGTTAGGTTTAGGTTGGCACTTCTGTGTGTGGGTTGTGATGTCCCAGCAAGCAGAAAGCTTTGTGGCTTTTTAGGTCATTCTGCTACTATGGGATGTAACAAATGCATGAAGCGATTTGAAGGACTAATTGGTCAGAAAAATTATGGGGGGTTTAATGTGAAGGAATGGGTTGAACGGGATAAAGATTCTCATATGAAGATGGTGAAGGGAATTATGAAGTCAAAAACCAAAACAAAAAGAGAGGAGCTAGAAAAAAAATATGGAGTTAGATATTCTGTACTCTTAGAACTAGAATACTTTGATCCTATTCGTATGACAATCATTGACCCAATGCATAATTTGTTTTTAGGAACAGCAAAACGTATGATGACCCTATGGAAAGATAAAAAAATACTTTTGCCCGATCATTTTGAAAAAGTACAAGATAAGATTTCGGGTGTGTATTGTCCATCAGATATAGGAAAGTTACCCCAAAAATTTGCATCTAGCTATGGTTCATTCAATGCTGACCAGTGGAAAAACTGGACAATAATGTTTTCAGTGTATGCACTCAAAGATCTTCTTCCTGAAGATCATTTTGATTACTGGAGAAAATTTGTTCTTGCATGTAAATTTTTGTGTTCAAGATCATTGACAAAAAACCATGTAAAAGTTGCACATTTATTGTTGATTTCTTTTTGTGAATCTGTTGAAAGAGCATTTAGTGATGAGGTCATTACACCAAATATACATTTACATGCTCATTTGGACAAATGCCTATATGATTTTGGTCCTGTGTATGCATTCTGGTTATTTAGTTTTGAGAGAGAAAATGGAATTTTGGGTGCATTTCCTACAAATAACAGATTTGTTGAACTGCAACTCATGCGAAAATTTTTGAAAACTGTGCATGTTGTTGATATTGACTGTAAAGAAAGTACTGGCCAAGATTTTGGGCCAGAATTTGAAAGAATTGTTTCTATGATTGATAGTAAAGATAGAGGCACACTTGCTGAGATGAATATGTGTCAAAATGTCAATTTGTCAAAAATGTCCTCTAGAAATGTTGAAGTGAGCATGTGTGATTGGACATTAGATGTGATAAATTCTGCTTTTTCTCATTCCTCTTTGAAAAATTGTTTTTTGAATGAAATAGATTTTTCATATTTGAAACATTTTTACAAAGTTTTATATCCAAATGTATTTATTGAAAACATTGATGTGTGTAATACTTTTCGTTCCACAGAAAGTATCAATGTATTTGGAAATATTATTGGAACCAAACGAGGTAGAAGCAATCGATCCTCTATGATAATCGCTCACTGGTATGGCGAGAATGGACAGATATCTTCATTTGAGAACATGGATCTTAAACCTAGGCCTGGACAAGTTGAGAAAATAATTTTGCATAATATTCTCATTGAAGGTAAATCACATGTCCATTGCCTTGCAAGGGTTAAATGGTTTTGCAAAGTGAATGAAACTTTGAGACATTATTTTGGTAAACCAGTTGAAGTTTGGAAGGCCAATATGTATGATATTGAAGGCCCTGCTAGTTTTATTCCCATTCAGAGAATAAAATCCAAATTTGTATATGCGTTTGAGAAATTGCAAGGGATTAATACCATCATTGTTATACCGCGTGAAAGGTTTTTGTAATTAAATTTGCTATGTATAGGAAGACTTTCTTTTATGTACATATTTTTATTAGATTTCTTAGTTTTTAGGCAGAAAAAATATCTTCTTTTTGCCTAATGAGAATGACTTTGTTCATTTTCCATGATTTTTTGAGAACTGCTAGTTTTTTAATTGGTTTTGCATAAATTTTTTTTGGAGCACTATTTTTTCTGTATAAAGCAGAAGCCAGACAATCAAGTCTACATCTTTACAAACACACATTGATCATTAAAGTCCATACACAACAAAAACTTGTGAAGTCGGGCACATACAGTATTTGTGAAGCCGGACACATGAGGCGACATATTTAAAAACACACAGAGATCATTACACTCCATACAAAACAAAAACTTGTGATGTCGGGCACATACAGTATTTGTGAAGCCGGACACATGAGGCGACATATTTAAAAACACACATTGATCATTACACTCCATACAAAATTAAAACTTGTGATGTCGTACACATACAGTATTTGTGAAGCCGGACACATAAGGCGACATTTAAAACATACATTGAACAATGAAGTTAATGCACAATTTTTTTATATCGCAAAATGCAATTCAGGAGGATACAGTAGCATATTATATTTTTATAAATCATTGTTTTTGTTTTTTATTTATGTAGCAAAAGTATTTTATTATGTGAGAGTTTATGAATAATTATTGCCATTGAATTCATTATTTGTAAGAAAATTAGTACATTATCGTGTATTAATTTATTTGAAATTTTATTTTTTGAATAAAAGTATCAATCTTGTGAGTTGTTTTAAAGTTTTCAGGATTGTGAAATGAAATTGTTTAGAAAGAACTTAATTTTCTAAAATCTTAGATTTGCTTGAAATCATGGGTTATTCTTCATAAATAAAATTATTAAATCAAAATTCAACTTTAATTATATGTACCAACTTTAAAAAAGAGGCCAAACAAGATGAAAAAAATTTAATATGGGTAGCATGTATTTCATTTTCTTATGACGAAAGCTAGTTTGCATTCATATTCATATAAAATAGTAGGTAAAACAATTTTCTTGTTAAGACTAACAAGGGTTATCGGGTTAGTGTTACGTACTTGACAGATCATACTTATTGTAAAGTATGCTTTTCTGTCCTTGTTGCATCTATTAGCGGTCATCTTCAAAACTTTACTGCAGATGTAAATGAGCTTAAGGTTTTAAAAATTTAAGTTACCGTTATCTTTACTTTCATTAAAAGATTAATCGAGAAATTTGAAAACCAATTAAAGTTAAACTTTATATACATAAAGCAAGAATGGTCACCTTTGAAACTTTTGTTAGAATTAAAGGAACATAAAGTTCATATTTTATTTAAAGTAAAGCATAAAAGATGATCTTTAATCATTTGTTTTAAGTAAAGAAATTTAAAGGTGATCTTTTAAGGTTTAAGTTAGTGTAAAAGTACTTAAAGATAACCTTTACTTCTTTAATTTAAGTAAAGTTTAGGTAAAGGTAACCTTGATTTTCTGAAAACCTTTAAGCTCATTTACTTCTGCAGTAAATTTTTGTAAAGCTAAATTTTCAAGCAGTGTGTTTATGTGTATGGCTTTCAGAAAAACCAGATTAATATAGTTCCTCTTCCAACATATTACAGCTATCATGAAGCACTGACTGTGAAAATATCTGCAGAATGAAGACAGTTATGTGATGCTTCTGCATAGTCAAACAACACACATATGAACAAAGTACTGGCAACTAGAGAATTAGTATTATTTCCGAGTGATTCTGAGCTAGTAATTTCCCAAAAGCGTTTTGTTTGACTACCATAAAACTTTCAGGTCTGAGAAAACAACAAATATCTAGGTATTTAATTTTTTTAGAATGATGACACGACGTTCGATCCTGATGTTTAAAGTCTTAAACTTTTTTTGCCAAGTATATTTTTAGTTTACACATACAAAGCTTAATTAAAATTCAAATCAAAAAGTTGGGGTCAATACGCTTCTTTTGGCGCTACAGTACATTAAATATGACCTTCTTGCACTGAAATTTGTGTCTTAATTAAATATTTGACGTTTTCCCTCAAATATTTTTATCCAATTAAAGCATGAAACAAAATGAACTCTAAGTTTGTTTTTAAAAAGACACTTAAAAATTGTGACTAAGAAAAAATTTCAAATTGCTTTGCATAATCAATTATTTGACCTTTCTGCACTAGTAAAAAGTGATTTTTCTGGCATTGAAAATTTGATAAGCAAGAAAAGTATTTTAAAGTCTTAAACTTTTTCTGATTTTAAGCAAATAGGTCAAATTTATCTTGAAAATTAAGAATAGAATATCAAAAGTGGGGGTATATGATGAAAATTTTTAGATAATACTAAAAAAGTGTCAATTTTACGCTAAAATTGGCTCACTTTTTTGCCAGATTTTCAGAATATATTAACTATATTTGTCAAACTTTGTTGTAAGAATTCATAAAAAATAACTCAAAAGATATTTCAGAACCAGCATAACACATTTCACTGCAAAAAACAACTTTGTGTGCAACTAGGATGGAGAAATAGGAATCCGAAATTAACAGTACAGTTATAGTTCAAAATGGAAAAACTGGTCATTTTCGTCTAAAAAACCTTCCGCCACAAAATATAGTCCCTAGCTTAATTCTACTTGAATGGAATTTAATCGCAGTTTTTTTCATTGGATATAGTTAAATTTGCACTGTAGAATTCAGTTTTATCGTTAAAACCTAAAAATGATGCTTTTTATAAATAAAGGACCTGCGCGAAATACGCTCAAAATATCAGGATCGAACGTCCTTAAGTCCGGGGATTTTTGTGATTAAGTGGTACTTAAAGGCTCAATTTTCTGGGTTTTTTTTCACAGATATTTAACAGATATGTAATATTTTCAGCATTTATATGCCAATACATGCAGAGGTTTACGCAGCTAGGTTAAGGACACTAAAGAAAATATGCCTTAAAATATTCCGAGAAAATCAATATAATTTCATTATTAGTATGAGTTTAAATTTAATGGTAATTGTACTAATGCATATGTATATATGGGGTCTCAACCGAGTTCGGCCAAAGCGACTTTACGTACATCAACTGTATGTCACGTGACATGTTAAAAATGAGAAAAAAATATGTATGGATACAAAGATCATAAAAGTTCAGCGATATACAAATGATTTTTCACCAAGAAATTGATTGCATATTCTTTAAGACAAATTTCTTAACCGGAAAAGTGCTAGGAGCAACTTCCCCACCAACGGGAATTATATAAAATGTAGCCGTCTGTATTGAAAAACCTCGTGTATTTACACTACACGTCTATGCATTGAAATAATGTAAAATTAAAGGGGAAAATCAAGAGCACACAACTTGCTCCCAGCACTTTTCGAAATAGTAGAGACAAAAGCTACATTTGTACAAAATATCATTATTTATAGTTAAGCTAATATCGTTGAGTTTTTGAGATTTTCGAAGGTGTGTGCCTGTGGTTGTAGTACGTTTATGTATAAATATGCATGACTGCGGCTCTATTAGAGACCTATTCGTTATCAATTTAATAGGACTGTTAAAAGTTACAAATGCATTTAAAAATATGACTCAATTTTAGTTAGATCACGCTTATTTAGTTTTAAATTTCACATTTACAAGTTGCAATTATAGCTTGATCTGCGTCTCAAGTGCAGAGAAACAGCGTGTCAACTAGTCTTGGACGTCATATATGTCAGTACAGCGAGATCAAGTTGGAATTAATTTACATTAAAATAGTTTTGTAATAATAAGATTAGTTACACATATAAGGGAAATCACAGTATGTAAAAGTTAATGAAAAAAAAATAATTTATTTGCCGATAGTCATTTGTGCAGTTTCACCTTTTTGTCATAATCGATTTGCATAGACTGATCTACCAAACCTAGCTGCGTATCATATTCCCCAAAATGCCGAACGCTGACGAACAATTATATTTCTATGTACAGTCGTATAGAAAATTTCAAAATATATTTCTAGCACATTTTGTCTAAATTGTATACATGTATATTTTGTTAAAACACACTAATACACTGCATAAGATGTGCAGAATACTAAGGTTCCTCAACTTAATTTTGGAAATTAGGGCTGGTCCCTAAGAATGTTTCTGGTCCCAAGAATTTGTTATCTAATCTATGAGGAGTTGAAACTGTTTTCACAAAACTCAAAATCTATTGTGAAAGTTACCGGTAATACGTTAAGGAAGAAAAGTTGTTCAAAAGACAAATGACAGAAAGTAACTTTCTATAATCATCAAATCTTGTCACTTCCAATGAAACAAGAAGTAGGCCAAAATGGCTGATATTCAAAAACTTTAGTAAGAAACTGAAATGTTAATTTACAAAGGATATACTGTCTCCATTCTTTAATTTCATCGCTTTAGGCTACTCTTGGTCAAACCGTAAGTAGTTGCATTTGACATATTTCTGCAGATAACTACTTAATTTTAGAATATAATTTCCATTACAAGCTTTCCGCACTTCCGGTCAAATTGGATGCATAAATTTATTTTCATGCTTATCAGCTTATATTTCAATGATAAAATCTTAGTAGACAGACAAACATCACTTTCCGTCCAATGGTCTTCTTCGGAAAGGAAAAAAATGCCTGTCCATCTTCCAGCAAGTGAGACTTAAAGTCGGGCGGAAGACCTACTCGTTGCTTTGCAACGAGCTTTGCTCTAGTTAGGGTCTTCCGTCTTCAGCGGAAGACCCTTC